TTGATCAAACTTTTTTTTTTTTTTTTTGGTAACTCGTCAGGCTCATAATCTGAATGAGGCTCTACCTCTGCTCAGCCCTGTTGATCAAACTTCATCAAAGCCTACCTGCTCTTTTTTTTTCTTTTTTTTTTTCCCCCCGCAAGGAACGGCGACCTTGAGATATCATCGTTGAACTGACCGGCCCCATGTAATTCAGAATTATTATACTCTGGTCATCTGATCCTGTCTGGATTCAAAACTTGGGTCTGTATTTCAACAGTTCCTGGGTTTACGACCTCAGCTAGGCTCGCTGGTCCTATCTACTTTTTTGGTTGTACCCCATTCCCCTTACACGGTCTTTTTTTTTTTTTTTGTTTCAAACAATCAATCGGTGTGGAGGCATGTGGTGGGATCATTTCATGCTTGAAGTGGGGGGGGGGGGAATCCCATGGGGTTCCAGATACGGGAGAAAGGTGACGAGCTGACGACACAGTTACACAAGTTTCTGGTTTACGCATAGATCACATATTTATTCCTGCATTCGTCCTGTACTTACATTCTCCGGCCATCTTCAGTTTTGGGATTCGACAGCCATCGTATGTGTTTACGACTCTACAACTTTACATACATTGTTAATGGGCCGCTGAATCTTTGACGAAGGGTACACTGCTAGTGGATAGCACTACACATGGGATAGCATACCAGACTCTAGTGGATGGTGAAATATGGTAGCGAATGCGAGTGGGTCTACTGGAGTCTGGTATGCTTTCCAGCCTCCTATGATTCATCCCTGGCCTGTGGGGGGCTTGCCTTTGCGTTGCGTTGCGTCGCGTCGCCCCTCACCAGTTTTTTTTTTTTTTTTTTTTTCCTAGTGGAGGGGTGATGCTTCGGGACATCCGTTTAAAAAGGGAATACCACCTTTATTTTGGTTGTTCTTATCTTTCTTTCCCCCCGAGAAGCTAGCCTTTCACCGAATCCTGCCATTTCCAAATCTTTTGCCAGAAACCGTGTTTCAACTTCTGAAGCTTCAGCGTGTGCTATATCCAAACTGGGCAAACTGCTGGCCTTTCTTGGGTCCCAAAATCGTGCCAGACCGAGCACAACTCAAAATGAATGGACAGGCGCTCAGGTTTTCTTGGTGACCCCCCCAGGGCAAACTACCTGATGCACAGCATACCTGTGGACGATGGTGGGACCGTCTTTCCTGCTTGTACCGTGTTCCGAAAGCGGCTGTGAATCTCTTTTCTCTCTTTCGATCGCCCTTGCATTACTCTTCTTCTTGTTGTCGTTTCTCCCTAGTTTTGTTGGTCCTGCCATCTTGTCTTGCTCTTATTCTGCTTTATCTCATGAGCAGCATGCTGTGTTCTCTACAGGTGGGCACGGCAGCGACAAATGGCTTGATAGCGGTGAGGCGCATACTGGATCCTAGCTCTGCTGCTTCAGGCGAGGATGCCGAGGATGTGCCCATTTTGGAGACAAGTGTGGCATACGGTGCCTACATGGCTGTTTCGTCGAACTTGAGGCAAGTGGATACCTCCTTCCTTTGAGGTCCTGCTCTTCTGTCTGTCTGTCCGCATGATTCTGCTTGAGTGGCTATGTGACTCCACCCCCCTTTGAGTTCCTCTTCTGTCACTCCGTCATCATAACTCTGCGCGAGTGGCTGTGTGACAGACCTATACTTCCAAATATTGGGTAGCTTCATGGGAGTTACAGAATCAAGGGGAGAGGGGGGAAGGGGGGTGGGCGGAAGGGGTGCTGGCTGGATCATTTAGGTATTCTATCTCTTGTGGTGCTATTTGTGGGGTTGATAATATGTTTTGTCTGTCCGTAATGGAGACATCACATTGGTACGAATGCCGGAAAAGGACAAGTATGCACTACTGCAGAAGGGTGCTGAGGGTAATCGGTTGGTGCGATATGACCAGTTGAACCCTGACAGCATCGAGCTTCTCGTTTAGCGCTGCAGCTCCCGAAGAAAGAATGTTGAACCTCATTGTTAATCCGATCCTCGATCTCTGGACCATTCTGACGGAGGCCCTGTCGGAAAAAAGGCTGTTAGGAGCAGTGCTGACATATCTGCCAATTTTTCTGTAGCTTTTTTTTAGCAAACATGACTATATAACACATCTGCAAAGCTCCTTTTTCTCCCCCTCGGCATGATGCCTGCCTATGGGACTCGCACCACTACTCGTGAAATGTGCAAAATGAGAAGGCATCTTGCGGTAGAAAATGGAAAGGTACACCGCCATATTTTTTTTGTCTTTTGTGCATGTGGAGAGTAGTGGAGCGAGGCCCTATGTATTTTCTAAAATTTCTATCGTCTCCCTGTCGTGATGGAATTCACTGGAACGTTTTGTCCATCTCTTTTTCTTTTCTTGTGATTTTCTTTTTTTTTTCTTTTTTCAGTTTTGTCCATGTCGCATTGCCAGTTCTGTCCATGTCGAATCGCGTCGATCGGTTCTTTTCTTCTGGGAAAGGAAACTGCCAACTGTTGTTTCTTTTTTTGGAGCGTAGGAAGATTGCCATCCGGGTCTTTCCACCCCCCCTCCGAATGCTATAGTCTCTGTGTCTTTAGCTCCAGCAATGTCCATGTTGTACTGTTTGCTTCTTTTCCTACCGCTCTGCACTGTTCCCTCCAAATCCTTTGTATGGACCTCGCTCCACTCCTCTACTCTCGACATGCACAAAAGACAAAAAATATGCCGGCGTACCTTTCCAAGTTCTAGCATAAGATTCATTCTCATTTTCTTCATTTCGAGAGTAGTCGTGGAGTGAGGCCCTCTTTCACCCAGCATGTAATGCACATACCTGTCAAAAAAAGCACACAGTTGATCTGGCATGTATCGCCATGACCGTGAGGACTATGGGCCTCGCTGCACTAATCTCGATATGCACAAAAGACAAAAATATTGGTGGTGTATCTTTCCATATTCTAGCGGAAGATTCACTCTCGTTTTGCACATTTCAAGAGTAGTGCAGCCAGGCCCTATATATGACACTGTGGCACCCAGGACTCCTGATCTGGCATGTCACTTTGGTTTTAGGAATCTTCTCTGGGTATCGAATGTGCACGCGCGACAGCATTTATGGAATGGTCGAGTCGGAGGCGAAAGAACCTTGTGTATTGTGTAATCTACTAATCTGTGTATATCAATGAAGTTGAATCTTCAGACCTGTGCAGAGTACGACTGTTACTTTCAGGTAAGCAGTAGTGAATTGTGTAAAAGGCAATGTGTGCAAGATGAGACAACGATCCGAGTGCTGACTTTCTCGTCTTTGTTGGGTGCCTATTGTTTTTCGCTCAATTTCTTTTTATTATCATTATATATAAGGGGCCATCTTAATCTGCTCTGTTTTCGTTCCTTTATTTTAATTCCCCCCCCCAGAAAACAGAACCTTACGAGTCCTGGTTTTTATCCATTCTGGGAAGCATCTGTCCGGTTCCTATTCCACCGGCAAGTCAGGTAAATACTGTGGTTACGATCCGAACGTCCGGATCGCAGTGCAGACGGTACGGGTCTGTGATGTCCGGTTTTGGTGTCCGGTCCAGATGTCGGGATGTGCTGCCACCGCCGCCTCTCTGCCCCTGCAACAAAAAAAAAAAATGTGTCTGATTATCTCTGTGATCTTGGAACTTTGTTTTTTTTTTTTTTTTG